ATTTTTTCTATTTTTTGGTACCGGGGATTGAACTTGGGTCCTTGCGCCTGTGAAGCAGGCGGTGGAACCACTGAGCTACATCCCCAGCCCTCTATTTTATTTTTTAAAGAAAACAGTCTGTGACATTTTGCCTGTGATACTTCTTACTTTTTTGTTGTTGTGCTGGGATCAAACCTATGGCCTCACACCTATGCAAGGCAAGCACTCTACAGCTCCTTGCTCTTATTCTTGAGGTAAGTTCTCCATGATCTACTTGGCCAATTTCTAGGAGTTAATCCTGTGGAGTGGGGTTTCTTGGGACAGAGGGGCACTCCCACTCCTGATTATGTGGCAAACCAAGCCAAGGAAGTGGACTGTCCAATGTGACCTCACCTGTGTTCCATTCGTGTTGGCAGCTTCCCCAGGGCAGGTCAGCAGTGAAGCTGCTGAAGAGGTAGAAGAAGGCCCAGGCCAGGACGATGATGTAGTAGATGTTGAGGAGCATGACAATCACCTGGGAGGCATAGCCAATGCCTGGAGGAAAACTACAGAATTGAGCTGGGGACAGGGCACAGATTTCTCACACTGACCTACTGGTTAGGAAAAGGCTTGTTCTCCGCTGTCCTATAGCGAGAAGTGCTGTGGCTCTCTGTTCCCAGGCCAGATGGGGACTTTTCTCCTGCCTTCTGTTGCCCTTGGCCCCCTTCCTGTGCTGTCTCATCTCCATCAGGTTCTGAAAGGTCACTGATTCAGAGTTATTTTTTAAATGCATAAGACTAACTCCATAATACCGATAGTCAATGATCCCCCAGAATTAGTCAGATATATTTCTGAAACATAAAACCACAAGATCAGAGACAAACAATTTGTAAAGAAGGAAATGCAAATCATGAATGAACACCTTTAAAATATAATATTCATCCCCTTTAATTACTGGTGTGTAAAATGACACAGTGATGAGACACCATTCTGCAGTTACAACCTTAGTGAAGGTTTCTACAAAGGATGTAACTCAGAGGTTTCCATCCTGACTACATTTCAGAATGGCCCAGGAATATTTACAATATTCCAAAACCTAGGCTAGACCCCAGACCATTTAAATCACAACCTCTGAAGATGGAGCATGGGTCATAGAAGGTCACATTGAAGGTCTTTAGGTGGTCTCAATGAACAAAGTTTGAGAACCACCAATAGAATCCAAGATACAAAAAAGATGACTACTTACATCTAGTGTCATTGTCACTGTCAGTATCATCAACACAATATAATAAACCAGACCAAGGGATGCCAAGTTGATTATTCATTTATATTCAGTATTCCTAATCCTGGAAATTTATCCCAAAGAAATAATTCCAAAGGTATGGAAGTTATCTAAACAAATATACAAGATAGCAGAATAGAAAAAATTTACAAGCAAGAGAAAGTAATCAAAAAGTTCCAGAGACCTATTAAGTAAATTTTGATGTATCCATTGATGGAAATTTATAAATCATTAAATGAGTATTATGTAGAAAATGGAAAATAAAATTAATTGAAAAAAGAAAATAAGCTGTGCATATTCCATATTAATAGATTATAAACTCCATAGAAAGAGAAAGAATGATTGGAAAGCCTCCAAAACTGGAAACAGCCCAAATGCTCCTCAATGAGTGAATGATTAAACAATCTGTGGTACATCCATACCATGGATGTACTCATCAAGTGAAAATCAGTGAGCTGTTACTGGTATATGAAACAAACTGAACAGATTGATGAACGTGAAGGACATCATGCTGAACAAAAAGCCAATCACAAATGGTTACATTCTGCATGAGTCCATTTATATGACAGTCTCAAAATGACAAAATTACAGATAGACAACATAATAGAGGTGGCCAAAGATCAGGGATGAGTGGGGGTGAATGTGATAATAATGGGTAGGGTGAAGGAGAACTGAATAGTGATGGAACAGTAAGTTTTTTGATAAGTGGCAGTGACTGTCCAGATCTACATATCTCAAAATTACACAGGATTACCAACATGTATACAAACAAGAGTGTGGGAAACTGCTGAACTCTGAATAAGGTCTATGGACAGTTCCAAACCAATATCCAGACTTTGCCATTATACTGTAGTTATATAAAATGTTGTCAATGGGGAAAAACTAAATAAAGGACACATAGGACTTCTTTGTACTATTATTGTAACTTCCTGTAAATCTATAATTATTTAAAAATAAAAATTTGGAGAAAATCCTATACAGAAAGAGAAACAATAAAACAAAACACCACAAATTTTAAAGTTATTGTGTCAAGATGATAGAACTATTAATGAAATATTTTTTCTCATTTAAAATTATTTTAAACGTTTCATAATTGGTTAAATGCCTTTAAAACACAAAATCATTTTAATATATAGCTAAATGTAGCTAAAATAGCTTCCCACTCTACTTATTTAACCTAAAGCCTTTGTAAATCCTTATCCCTATTTCTCCTTCATCCTCTGATGGGCCAGGTGACTGATTCTGTATTCAGCCCATAAACCAAAGGTTTACCATAGAGACTCAGAGTCTTATTTTAATCTCAGAACTACTGCTCACCACTCAGTCATCCCAAATAAGGTCTATAAGCATTAGTGAAGATACCCTGGAATCAGCCACAAAGTCACTCACCCTCAAAGATGGGGCAGATCTTCCTCCAGGCTGTGATGCCCCCCTGGCTCGTGTACTGGCCCAGTGCTGTCTCCAGGAAGAAGAGAGGAATGCCACAGGTAAAGAGAAAGATGAGGTAGGGGATGAAAAAGGCGCCTGTGGGTAGAAAACAAGCTATCATTTGCCTGGCAACATCTTCTTCGTGGTCCACTTCATCTTCTAGTGGTGGTCCATCACCATGCACACTGCCAGTCAGAATCCCAGGGGTGGGGAGCAGGGAGCATGCAAAACTGAGACATCTGTCTAGCTATCTGGGACCACTGCTGGGATCTAGAGTTACCAAGTTACCTAGGAGCCATGCATCCCATGCCTTTTTTTTCACTGTGCAGTTTCAATCTATACCTACTAAGGTTTGCTCTCCAATGGACATCAATTATGTACTACCTAAATACAACAGCATGGAAGACAATTGAAAAGAGTTCACTGAATGGTAACATCCAGGACCATTAGCACAGCCTACAGCCCATAATTCCTTTCAAAGAAAGTATTGCTCTTAATGTCAAGCAGGGACTTTCAGCAAGTTGAAATCAGATTTCTCTTTAGTAATCTTTCTGTTTCTGTTTTCATATTCATTAGCTGGGACAAGACTATGGATGTCCAAAATGCTGGTGTTTTATCTACCATGAATCTCCATCTGCTACCAAAATAGACAGGTGGGCTCACAGAGAAGAGTCCAGATAATAGGAAACTTCACAGAGAGGAAAACCCAGACCCCTGCACAGGGTCTCTCAAACTTTCAGCTGACACTGATCAGCACATATGTGTGAGAAAAGAAACTGATGTAAGGGAAAGAACTATTCAAAAAGATGAAAAGTAACTGTGTTCATACAGTGTATGTGCCAGGAAGCCAGACTGAATAATCTCAAGATTCGCCCAACATTGGGTAGAATATGCAGAAGAACATTCCTGTGGCAATGGAAGATAATTAGCCCTAGGCTGAATACAACTTTAGTCCTACCTGACAAATCTCTAAAATAAGATGCAAAAGGATTAAGAGCCCTCACTGATCCTGGAACATAGCTCAAGAATATTTAAAGAAATATTCTTGTAGTCCCAGGCACTTGGGAGGCTGAACAACTTCATGGCCAGCCTGGGAAACTTAGCAAGACCCTGTATCAAAATTAAAAAATAAGAAAGGCTGGGGATGTTGCTCAGGGCTCTCTATTTTCAATCTCAGTATTGACAAATGGGGGTTGGGTTCGAGGGGGACATTTGTAGAAATAGAAAACTATCTTGCAACCAATACAGCAAAAATTTCACCAAGGCTGGAATCCAATGAAAAAATTACCAAATGCAAGGTAGAAAAATATTACTCATAATAAGTATATAAATCAATCGACTTTGACCCATAACTTACACAGATGTTAGAAATAGCAGGTGAAGATATTTAAAGTTATTGTAATTATATTGCATATACAGTATTACAAAAAGTTAGACATGAAATATGCTGGAAAAGATGCAAATAAAACTTCTAGCAATAAAACTACAACGTGTGAAATTTTAACAAATATACTGGATGGGATTGATGCCAACAGGTATAAAGAAGAAAAGATTAGTGGAGGGGCTGGGGCTGGGCCTGGGCCTGGGTGTGTGTATCTCAGTGGTACAGCACATGCTTAGCATGACCAAAGCCCTGGGTTTGATCTGTAGCACCACCCTCCAAAAGAAGGTTGGCGCAGAGATTGGTGGATTTGCCAGGTACAGGCACATGTGCCTGTAGTCCCAACTACCCAGGAGGCTGAGGCAAAAGAATCAGTTCAGCAGAAGTTTGAGAGCATCCTGGGCAACATAGAGAGACTCCATAGAGAATCTCCATCTCTCTATGGAAAAATAAAATGTGCATATGTGTGTGTGTGTGTGTGTGTGTGTGTGTGTGTATATATATGACTTAAACCATAGCAGAAACTATCTAAAATAAAACAGAAAAAACAGAATTTTTTTAAAAAAAGATCAGAGGGCTGGAGATGTAGCTCAGTAGTACAGTGCTTGTCTAGTAAGCAAAAGGCCCTGTGTTCAATCCCCAAAACAAGAGAAAGAATAGCTGTCAGCCCAGCTCAAGCTTCTCCCACATCTGCGCAGCCTGCTCTTTCCCAACACAAGAAGCCTATGTTTAACTGCAGCCTAACCCAGGGTCAGCTGCGCTCCGCTCTGCCTCTCTGAGCACAAGGTAGACTGCCACGGGCACTCAGTCCACACTGACTGGCCCTGCAAGTGTGGAAGGGCTTGGGGGTGGGATGGAGCCGAAAGGGGATCCAGGTATAGACCAGAGAGTCCTAAGGTCCACTTTTTCTCTTTTCCTTCTTGTCACCACAGTCACAAAGTAGAATTAGTTCTGAAGGTGGTGGCTGGGGCTCAGTTACCTGCACTCCCAAATCATCCATGCTACACTCTTCAAATTCAAAGATGCGCTACCTTTCTCTCCATAGAAAAGAGTCATTCAGCTGGCCACCTCTCTCAAAAGGAGCATACTCTGTGGTGTCACCTGTTATTTTCCAGCTGCCTTTTAAAGATATAAACTGGTATTCTTCCTGAACAACAGAGGAGACAGGACACATGAATAGTTACTAACCTGACCAACAGTGGATGTTCAGGAATTCATTAAAAATGATAACTACTACTAAAATAGCTATTACTGCCCTATGAAGAGAAATGCTTCTCATTTCTCTTCGATATCTACAAACAGCATCAAGACGAATAGTCCCTGTGTGCTCTCCCCTCAGAGTTCAGAGCTGAAATGAGCCTCATTCCTGCCCTTTTCCTCCACTGTGCCTATTTCTGAGCGGTCCATCTGCATACATCCTTCTGTGGCCTTATGTGGGGACACCAGGACCAGGTATTCTGCTAGGGAAGTTCCAGCTGAAGGTCCAGGATCAGGGTGTTGAAGGACTGAGGGTCCAAAGAAGGACCTGGAGGGGGCAGGAAAGAAGGGAGCAACTAACTGTCTTACATAAGGTGGTCTCCAGCTGTGTTCTGAGACTAGCAAAAACCTAGAGTTTTCGCAGAAGTAATCTCTGTCCCTGGTTTTTAGCAACATAGACATGGAAATTAAGTGTAAATTGTTGGTAGACAATCTGATTTTGTCTGAGTCAAGACTAGTAGGCAAGTAATTTAAATTTTCACTTCACCAAGTTGAATCATATCACCAAAACCTCCTGCAACCCCCCTGTCCCGCTATCATGCCTCCTGGGTGATCTAAATCTCCTTATCCCCATGGCTGGAGCTTTAGCCAGATAGGTCCTGGTGGAAGGTCACATCTGCTTTTCTCTCCAAGGAGCAGGGGGTGGAGGGTGTGACAAATAGTTGAAGTTTGCAACTTCTTCAGCAATTTCGCCAACTCAGGGACCCATCCCCCCATTGCTGGACCCGCTGGCCACACTCCTGCTCCTTTGCCACACTTGGACTTAATTATCCCCAGGCCAGGAGGAAGAATACAGAAAGACACGGGCTTCACTCACTCCGAAGTTTCACCCTAATAACCCATATTTATGAGTTCCAATTCTTCTCTCTCCATCTCCCCCATTATCTTAAACCCATTCCAATCAGTCTCTGCCCTAGCACTCCTCTAGAATCCCTCTTATCAAGGCCGCCAGAATAAGACAAGGCTTCCATGTCACTAAATCTAACAGTCAGTTCTCATTCATCGTTTTTCTTAGCCCACTGCAGCATTTGATATGGTTAACATCTCCCTTCTTGGTGATATAATTTCTTGGCTTTCCAAAACACTTACTTCTCTTGGTTTTCATTGTATTTCACTGATTTTCTCTTCTCTGTCTCCTTTGCTGGTTCCTTCTTTTCTCCCAAATTCCATAAGGTTCTTCCTCTCTTTTCTTATACTATCAAATTTTTGTCTATAGCCAGATCTCTCTCACAAACTTCGATGCATATGTTGTACTACCTGATTGCTCTATTTGACTATCTAATGGATATTTCAATTCAATATTTCCAAAACTCAGCTCATTTTCCTTTCAAAATCTGCTCTTCTCACAGCCTTCCATATCTCAGTAAATGGCAACTCTTTACTTCTAGTGGCTTCGATTAAAGAACTTGGATTCCTCAGATAGGGTGGTAGCAATGTAGGTGATGAGAACTGGTCAGATTCCACGTATCTCATGGGGGGATTCCAGTCTGAGGTATTCTGGGTGCTGAGGAACCAAGTCTGCCAGCAGCCAGGGTCCAGGGAGCCAGCAAGGCCCTCACTGGAGACCCAGGTCTAGAGCATGCAATATCTGGGCATTTGGGTAGAGCTAACAGTTATAAAAGAAAGGAATCAAAGGGCTGGGGATTTAGTTCAGTGGTACCACACCCGCCTCACAAGTGCAAGGTCGTGAGTTCAATCCCTGGTACCAAAAAGAGAAAGGAATCAAAAGTGGCCCCAAGACTTTTAGCCTTGTAACTGGTCTATCAGCTCTTACTTCCTTATAATCAGCTCTCAACACAGTAGCCAGAGAGATTATTTTAAAGTGTAAGATCATGCCATTTCTGCCCAAAACTCTGCTCTAACTTTGCACATCACTAGAGTAAAAGCCAGAGTCTTATAATGGCCAACAAGGCTGTAGCTGCTTTTCACCCCTATATCCTTGTGCTTCTCTGACCATAGTTCTATTCATTCCTCCTGCTCCAGACTCCCTGGCCTCCTAAGGGCTCCTGAAACAAGCCAGTCATCCTCTTTGGTTTTTTTTTTTTTTTTTGGTACCGGGGATTGAACTCAGGACCTTTCCCTTGAGAGGTGGGCACAGCACTGCTGAGCTAAGTCCTCCCACCACTTTTTGAGACAGGGTCTGGCTAGATAGTTTGGGTTGGGCTGGCCTTGAACTCACTATGTAGTCACAACAATTCTCTTGCTTCAGCCTCCTGAGTGCTAGGATAACGTGTGCACCACCAAGTCCTGCTTACCCATACTTCTATCAGCTTTGCCTTTTCCTCTCTGGAACTCACTTCAAATTAGATCTACTAAATGTTAAAGCTAAAAGAAACCAAAGAAGACATCACATATTAGTTTGAAACTAGTGGTATGTTTTGGAGGCTTTTTCATCCCTGACTTTCTCACTGAACAAATACTAAGTTCCTTCTTTATCATCCCCTCCCCTAGCACAAAAGTGGCTCTGTGAAGCTGTGGACTTAGAGAAGAATTCCAGAAGCAGGCTGGTAGGGTACATTACCTAAGCATGGTATTTCCCTGGAGTGTCCCAACATCCTTCTCCAGGACTTTCATAGAACATTCCTGTCATCTCCATGAACCCAAGCCCCAATCTGAGAGCTGTAGATTTAAATAAAATCACTAAATCAGAAGGAAAGGGGTCAAATCAATCTAAATGATTCATTTCCATTCTCTGCAGCCTCCTTCCGCAAATCAACACCAAAGTGTCCTTACGTAAAGAAGCATCAGTCTCTTTGGCAAAAACAAGATGGCAAGGTGAAATCTTTGGACCTATGCTCTGTAGAAGTTTGTTTTCCTTGGGAGATGGGAGAGTTACTTGGTGACAGAAAGGGTAAACCACTAGAAACACCAAAAAAAAAAAAGAACTGCAGGCAGGTCTGGGTTCTGCTAATGACCATACACATTCTTAGTCCTTGGGAAAGGAGCCTTTTCATGAATTCACCCAATGACCCCGGATGACTCATGCCCTTCAGAGCAAAGCTGGGTATATGCCTCTAGCTCCAAAGTCCTTTCGAACACTCCCTTTCAGCTGCTGTCATCCATCAGCAAACAGAGAGGAGGCATGTTAAGGCCTCGTGCTAGATCAAAGGAAGAAACTGTGGGTAGTAGGATACAGGTCAAATAAAGAACTTGACTAGCCAGGTATGGTGGTAAATGCCACAATCTTAGAACTTTGGAAGGCTAAGGCAGGAGGATTCCAAGTTCAACTCCTACCTAGGCAACTTAGTCACTTAGCAAGAAAGGGCTGGGGATGTAGCTCAGTGTGAAGGCCCTGCATTCAACCTCCAGTAATGAAAAAAAAAACAAACTTGATCTCAAGACCTCTAAAAATGTCTCAGCTATCAGTTGCAAAGAGCATGCTGGAAGGCAGGCTCTATTTAGGGAGGAACAAAGCCTTAGCAGCCATCCTATTGCTTCCACTCCCCCACATCCATGTCCAAATCCGAAGTACTCTTTTCTCCATGCACTTGCATTGCCCCACAAGACAGAGTCCACCAGCATTCCAGCCTGCATAAGCTCACCACGGAACCCTGGGGCAGTGTACAGACCCAAGGGTTGCCAGACAAATGAGCCCTACATCCCCAGCTGCTCCTGTCACTGCTCCCCTTTACTGCCCCTTCTTCAGCCTGAATTAAACCTGGAAATCACTGTCTTCTACCTCTTCGTGCCATTCCTGCTAATTCCCAGGCCAATGCTTATCCAGTTCCAGAGAGGCTTGGGGAAAGCTGCTCACCTCCTAATCTTTCTCCATGTGAAGAGCTAAGCTGGTTTCTAGGTTCTAGAAAGAGTTCCAATGCCCAGCTTAGTCCCCAATTCCTGTTTATGCCCTGGACCAGCCTCACCCCTCCTAAGTCTCTCAAGGGAAAGTGCTCAGGCTCAAATTCCTTAGCACGCCTGAGGAGTGTCCAAGACTAGAAAGGAAGTGAGAAGACCTCCATCTTGCCTCTGCAGACCAAGCAAAGTCCTTTGATTTCAGGCCACTGGCCAAACTTCATGGGGAGAAAGGACACATTAGCTCATTCCTATCCCTTTGCAAAAACACAAATTAACTTCCAACCCCAGGGTCAATCCCGAATTGCCACAGACCTGGGAACAAGACTCTATGGCCCAGAGCATCTCTCTTGTGTTCTCCCCTAGTCCTCCCACCTCCACTCTGGCATGTGTGCTTTCTTTCTCCAGAACCACATTTGAGCATCATAAGTTTCAAGCCCCCCGCCCCCGCAAAAAGGTAGGTGTTGTATTAGAGTACCCTCCAGTCTTTGTGACCTATGAAATGACCATTCCTCTCAGCATCTTCCCTGGTGATCTACCTCTGCATTCTACAGTCCTCCAGCCCAGACTGCAAGCTCATTACAAATGAGAATGCCTAACTTGTAAGCTTTACCTATCAGGAGATCTTCCTAACCCTTTAGTCAATCAATACTCTTCAGTACTTGGGAAATCCTCCTGGGACTTCCCTCAGAGATTTTGGATTCCCTGGCAATGGGTGAGTGGTAGCAGAATTACCACCACTGCTGTGGGAATGACAGAATTACCCGAGGGGGCTGGAATAAAGGAGAATGGGAAACTAATAATGACATAGTAAAGAGCTAGAAGTAACACTCTTCCCGTCACATACAAATTTCCCATTTGTACTGGAAAATTTTTAAAGGAAGAGCCACTAGGGTCAATGGTTATGATACTGATGGAGGTTGAGCCATGGATGGCTTTGAGAATGTCATGGTGCCTTTTGAGGTGAGGGAAGACACAAAGCCACAAAGCCAAGGCTGAAGAATCTCAAGACCACAAAACAGTTTGGTATCAGTATTATCATTAGTGTAGCTACTGTTTATTAAGCACTTTATATACATTATCTCTAGACTTTACAAACACCTTAAAAGATAGATATTACTATCTTGGTTTACAGGAGTAGCCACTAAGGCTCTGAGAGCTTAATTAACTTTCCCCAGATCACACAGAAAGCAGCAGAGCCAGAATTCAAACCCAGATCCACCTGGTTCCAAGCCTGAACTTCCATTTCTATGAGGCTACACTATACTAGACAGATCCTTAGGACACTCACATAGCTTTGTAGAGCTCAGTCTCCTGCAATGTCCTTAAAGGCCTTCGGGGTGCTTCCAACTCCAGCATCTATGGACTCCCCAGAGGGGCAAGTGCAAGAGATGGAAGCATCCTCTTCCAGGATGGGCAGGATGGTGCAGTGGCTCTCACCTCCCCCATTCTTGTAGCAGAGATAGGGAAACCTCCAGACGTTGCCTAAGCCAACGATCTCCCCGGCTACTGACAGCACAAATTCCGTCTTGTTCTTCCAGTGCCCCCGCTCCAGAGTGCCATCTTCCTCTGCCTTTTCCATGACTGGATACACTGGTTTTGTTTCTCCATTACTGGTTGTGCCTGAGACCCTGCTATCCATCCCACCTGGAAAATAAGTGGGATGCTCTGTTACTGTTGGTAATCCCAAAAGAAAGTCTCCTCCCTTCACTAGCAAATTTCCAAGGGAATAAATGCACTGGGAAAGGGTGAATCCTCCGCCTGAAGAATGATCTCCTCTTCAGCATCTCTCATTGTAGACCCAAGTGGCAGTTACTGAGACTATCACTCCTGTCCCTTTGCAGGAACAAAGCATTGACACTGAAGGAACAGATTTTGCTTCCTCTACCCAGGTTCTCTCTGGCTGGGACTTGGGGTCCCAGAAGTATTCATGTACCCCTGATTGTCTGAGTTCTCTCTGACACATTACAGCCACCTTGACTATATTGGCCTATGCTTTGGTTTCTTTACCCTGTATGCTGGGGACAACTGAAAGAACAAGATTGTCCATATTCTCAAAGCCACTTATTTCTTTTGCAGAAGAAATAAGTGATTGTGACCGTAGGTAAAGATTTGGCATTCGGGATGTGTATTGTTTATAACAGCAAAAAATTATAAAGTACATAAATGTTAACAAATTATGGTAAATATATACAACGAACTACTGTATAATCATTTTAAAATTGTAGAAAGTATATTGAGGGCTGGGGATTTAGCTCAGTGGTTCTGGCGCCTGCCTCGCAAGCACAAGGTCCTGAGTTCGATCCCTGATACCAAAAAAAAAAAAAAAAAAAAGAAAGTATATTGAAACAAACTGTGTTCACAACATATGAAGTGGAAACAGTATATACAGTATGATATGCTTGACGAATATTGTATGAAGTATTTATATATATTGAAAAATTAGGCTTCCTACCAAAATATTTCCCTCCTAGTAGTTAGATTATAGGAATACTTTTAAATCTATGTTTCCTATACTTTCATCAAAGAACATGTTTTATTTTTGTAATGTGAAAATAAAAGCCAGTTTTTAAAAATATCCTTCCAAAGAAATGTGGGAGGTTGAGAGGTTGAGTGGAGCCAGTGACTTTGAGCAAGATGATGTGAGCTGTCTAGGCATTTATTCCTCCATTTCTTTCTGAAATCAAGAGAAAGATGAACTACAGACTCTCTCTCTCTCTCTCTCTCTCTCTCTCTCTCCCTGTGTGTGTACACGTGTAGAAATGTTACCCTAGAGAAGACCACTACAACAACAAAATAGATAAAGAACCATCTAAATTTTTCCTTGCCAGAAATGCCAAAAGTCTATTCTAGACTGCTGTTGGGCTAAAGGATAAGACTGGATGTGGATCACATTTAGTAGCCAACTACTACAGATTATGCATTTTACATAGACTCCTTTCATTTCATTCTGGAAACAATCCTGAGACATATTATTACCTCTGTTGTCTAAGTAAGATACAGCTCAGAGCGGCTGAATAATGTGACTGTTGCCATATAACTGGTAAATTGTACAGCCCAGACTTGAATCTACTCTGTGACTCCTGCTCTTTCAATTATATTAGCCCTTTTATATGTGCCCTTCAATTATATTAGCTGCTGCAAATCATCTCCACAGCTAAGATAAGCATTTTCTAGTGAGCGCCCCACCCCATTTCTTTTTTAGAGAAGTAGCCAGGGCAACTTTTTCCTAAGCCTCAAAAGAAAAGTTATTGTTAAAAGAACTTTCTCAGTAGGAGCCCTTTTGGCCACAGACAATTTGGCTCTGCCTCTCCAGTTAGGCCCCTGAAGGATCCTGATAGTCAAAGAGAAAGTCAGAGAACTGAAGGCACCTTTGCTCATTTGATAAATTAAGGGGTGGGTTCCAAAGATTAGTAATGAGCCAAGAAGAAGGAACCACAGCCTCCGATCCCCAGAGGTTTCCTCAGTCCCTTTGAGAAGGTTGCCTAAGTAAGATTTTGTACTCATCTGTGTCTCCCTTTAACTAACTATCTGATGGATGTCTTTGAGTGATGGAAAGAGAAACAGTAGTCCTTTCCTTCAGCCTCACTATAGCCGCCTCTTAGGAGTAGCATCTTGCAGTCCAAGGGATACTAGCTGTACAGTCAGACAAGCCTGGGTTCAAACCTCAGTTTTTTCTCATACCACTGCCTAACATCAGAAAGTTAATGAATAACACAGCCTTAGTTTGTTTCTGTAAAAGTGGGAATGATAGGATATACTTAGCTAAAAGGAATATATACATATATATATATATATATATATATGGTAAACAAATTTTTATTTTCATTCAATCCTGTCAGAATTGATCAATACCTAATTTCTCAGAGAAGGCTTTGTTTTCTTCAAATTAAATCCAACGTCTTTCCTTTCAATATGGGGTTCTCTTTCTCCAATGCACATTGCCTCTTAAGTCATGAGGCACCCACGATTCCAAAAATCAAGAAAATAGCATACAGTCTTTGCATATGCACAAAGTGTCAGAAACATTTTCTAGGAGAAAAGTGAAATGTCGTTTGTTTGTTTGGCTTTTTTTTTTTGGCACCAGGGATTGAACTCAGGTCCTTGTGCTTGCGAGGCAGGCAACAGAACCACTGAGCTAAATCCCCAGCCCTGAAATTTGGTTTGTTTTTGTTTCTGTTTTTTTGAAATTTGGTTTTTAAGTCCTGTGGATCTACCAACCTGCAATCTGAGACCCAGAAACAGAAAAAGAAAAAAAAAAAAAAGAGAAGAAAACATTTCGAACCTTAGTGAAGTTGCTGCCAGAGGTCCAGTCGGGGGGGAGAAGAATTATCTAGGGGGCAGAGGAAGGTGCTGGCTATTTAAAGTGTGGTTAGAGAACGCCTCTGTGGCACTTGTAATCCAAAACTTGGCCCAGCCCACATTCCACCCTCAGGCCTCCCCTTCCAGTCCTATCCCTTCCCCTGGGCCACCAGACAATTTGCACAAGTGATTTTACAGCAGGGGACTATGTACACACCCTGGCAGTTCAGGCCAGTTGTAAGCTTACCGGAGAACATACTCTTCCCTGTGGCCTATGCACCCTTCCCTTTTGGTGACCTCAGGATCTGTCAAAGAGGGATTCTGCCTTTCTCCCTTTTCCCCAACTCATAAGCTCCTATAAATCCAACAAGAACAAGTTGCTGTACAAGATGTTACACAGATTAATTTAAAAGTACATTTACCTTTTTGCAGTTTACAATCTGGAATGGACAATGATTTAGGAAAAAAAATGACACATAGAAAACTGAACTCTGAGAAATCAGAGTTCTTCCCCCCACCACACACACACAATTTACTTAACATAGAAAAAGTCTGAAAGATATTCACTGAAAGGCTAATAATAATTGCACTCATAGAGTAGGATTAGGATCAGGAGATGGCACTGAAGGAGATTTTTACTTCTACTTGTTTAAACTTCAGCATTGTTTGAATTTTTAAACAATGTGCTAGAATTGAAAAGAAGTCTTCAAAATAAATATAGAAAAAGGAAGTACAAAGGTTTAAAACAAAGCAAAGGGGCTGGGGATTTAGCTCAATGGTTTCGATCCCCGGTACCAGTAAATAAACCAACCAACAAACAAACAAATAAATAAAACAAGGCAAAGCCCTGACCGTGTTTTAAGGGAAAGAGCTGGTGGCAAGCGAGGCAGATAGAGCCCGACCAGAAGGTTCAGGCAGGAACAGCCCAAGGAGAGTACACAGCAGGAAGTTAAGAGGACCAGGGGCTGAAGCACAGCACAATGCAGTGAGGACTGCTTATGTTTGACACCAGCCAAGTGCAGGTTTGAGTCGGGCTTCTGTTACTTTCTACCCTGAGGTCTAGAGCAAGGTATTCAATTTCTTTTTTGTTTTGTTTTTGGTACCAGGGATCAAACTCTGGACCTTGTGCTTGTGAGGCAAGTGGCTAAATCCCCCCCGCCAAGGTATTCAATTTCTGTTGAGTCTCTTTTCTCATCTATAAAATGAAAATGTGCCTTATATGGTTGTATAAATTTTCCAGAGAAAGTGAACATACTTAAAAAAAATCTAATACAAACAAGCTCCCAAACAATAGCTACTATGTATCCTTAGGAATTATTCACCATAAACGGGAACTCTTCTTGAAGTGGGTGAGACTGATAGACCCTTGAGCAAAGCTGGGCTCCTGGCAAAACTTCGAGCCTGAGTTAGGGTGGAGGATGCAGTGGACAACTGAAGGAGTTCAGAGAAACAGGTCTGATGTGACACGCAGGAGTGAAAGGAAGGCCAATCAGAGATTCTAATGCAGTTTCTATTTCTTTGGTTTTTCATCCACCTCTAGGACATGGAGTAGGCAGGGAAGTCTGTCGTGGTAAGACTTTCATGTAGCTTTATGGAGACTATTATTCTTACGTTTCAGCTGCCCCTTTTCCTCCTTTCTAACATTTCATCTATCTGGTTTAACTGTGTAAAGGAAAAGACCAAAGGGCCCTTTGAGAGGCTGCAAACTTATGAAAAAAAGCCCCCTTTGAAGCAATGCTTTCGTTCCACTTCTATTTATCAGGTGATTCTTACTAATGGTCCTAACCAATGGAGACTTTGGCCTTTATAATCTAAAACTGCCAGATAAATAGAGTTTATTTAGGACTCAAATTCATAAATCTAAGAGGTCAGGATACCATGTAGCCTTTGGCACTGTTGCACAGTCTTCATCGTATCCTTACACATGCAAACAGCTGGGATTGCAGGAAAGACTCCCAGTGATCATGGCATCATCAGAATTATCCGAAGTATGGCATTAAGTACTGCTCTTGGATGAAGGAATGTTGATCCTTTTTTTTTTTTTCAGTACTGAAAATTGAACCCAGGTCCCCATGTATGCTATGCAAGCCCCATACCACTGAGCAATACCCCTAGCCTTTTTAAAATTTTGAGACAAGGTCTCACTAAGTTTCCTAGTCTGCCCTCCAACTTGGGATCTGGCCTCAACCTCCTCAGCAGCTGAGATAACAGCAATCCTTTTCCCCAGTCCTTCTTCTTTTATTTTGAGACAGGATCTCCTAAATTACTAAATTGCCCAAGCTGGGTTCAAACTTGCAATCCTCCTGCCTCGGCCTCCTACAGGGCTGGGATCACAGGTATACACC